GAGAGAGAGAGAGAGAGAGAGAATCTCAAGCAGGCACCATGCTCCTTGCAGAGCCCAACGCAGGGCTTGATCCCACAGTCCTGGGATCATGGTGTACTTTGAGGGCATTATGCCAAGTTAAATAAGTCAAGAAAGGTGCCCATCAACAATACATTACAAGGATAATACACTATGATCAAATGGGATTTAGTCCAGGGATGCAACGATGGTTCAACACACAAATCAAATAATATGATACAACACATTAACCAAATGAAGTCTAAAAATCATAATATCTCAATAGACATGAAATTGGAATTTGACAGAATTCAGCATCCATTTATAACAATTCTCAACAAATTAGATACAGAAACACTATACCTCAATGTAATGAATGCCACATATGAAAAACCCACAGCTAACATCACCCTCAATGGTGAAAAGTTGAAAGCTTTTCCTTTAAGTTCAGGAACAAGACAAGGATGCCCACTATCATCACTTCTATTCAACATACTGTGGCAAGTCCTACCCAGATCAATGAGGCAAGACAAAGAAATGAAAGGCATTGAAATCAGAAAGGAAGAAGTAAAACTGTCTCTATTTGTAGGTGGCATGATGTTACATAGAGAAAACCTTAAAGATGCCACCAAAAAACTGTTAGAATAAATGAATTCAGTAAATTTGCAGGATAAAAACCAACATACAAAAATTGTGTTTTCACATACTTCTAATGAACTATTAGGAAAAGAAATGAAGAAAACATTCCCATTTACAGTTGCATCAAAAATAATAAAATACCTAAGAATACATTTAACCAAGGAAGTTCAAGACCTGTATACGGACAGCTATAAGACTTTGTTAAATTGAAAGAGACACAAATTAAGGGAAAGATATTCTATGCTCATGGATTGGAATAATATTTTTAAATGTACATATGACCCAAAGCAATCTATATATTTGGTTCAATCCCTATCATAATTCCATTGGCATTTTAACCAGAACAAACAATCCTGAAATTCATATGAAAACACACAAGACCCCAAATAGCCAGAGCAAACTTGAAAAAGAAGAACTAAGATGGAGACATCATGCTTCTTGACTTCAAACTATATCACCAAGCTGTAGTAATCAGAAATTTGGTACTGGTATAAAAACAGACATATAAATCAATGGAACAGAATAAGGAGATCCAGAAATAAATCCATGCACATATAGTAAATTCATTTATGACAAAGGACCCAAAAATATACAATGAGGAAAGGACAGTCTCTTTAATAAATAGTACTGGAAAAACTGGACATTCACATGCAAAAGAATGAGATTGGATTGCTGTCACACCATACACAACAAATGTCAAAACGGATTGAAGACTTGAACATAAGAAAGCATAGGCAATATGCTCCTTGACATTGGTCTTGGTATTAATTTTTTGGATTTGACACTAAAGCCAAAGGCAAGAAAAGCAAAAATAAATGAGTGTAACTACATCAAACTAAAAAGTTTTTCACAGCAAAGGAAACATTAACAAAATGAAAAGGCAACCTATAGAATGGGAGAAAATATTTGCAAATTGTGTATCTGGTAAGGTTTTAATATCCAAAATATATAAAGAACTCATGCAACTGAATAACAAACAGAAAAAATCTCATTTAAAAATGGGCACAGGATCCTTGGGGCACCTGGGTGGCTCAGTCAGTTGACCATTTTACTCTTGATTTCAGCTCAGGTCATGATCCAAGGGTTGTGGGATCGAGCCTCATGTTGGGCTCTGCGTGGAGTGTGGAGCCTGCTTAAGGTTCTCTCTCACTCTCCCTCTGACCCTCTCCCTTGTTTATGCTCTCTAAAATTAAAAAAAAAATGTTTCATGTATTATGAAATGTGGTGTTTTAATATTTTGTTGAGGATTTTTGCATGTATGTTCATCAGGGAGATTGGCCTGTAATTTTATTTCTTATAGTTTCCTTGTCTGGTTTTGGTATCAGGGTAATGCTGGCTTTGTAAAATGAGTCTGAAGTGTTCCCGCTTCTTCTATTCTTTGGAAGAATTTGAGACGGATTGGGATTGTTTCTTAAATGTTTGGTATAATTCAGCAGTGAAAACAGTTGGTTCTGGACTTTGTTGTGAATTTGCATATTTTAATACTGCTGTGTTTGTGTGAGATCTGAAACTTCAAAACTCATTTTTGTTTTCAATATACAAAAATATCAAACTAAATTTCTTTTCATGCTTTCATTTCTTAAATTAATTAATTATTTATTCATTTAAGTTCAAGTTAGTTAACATACAGTATAGTATTGGTTTCAGGAGTAGAATTTAGTGATTCATCACTTACATATAACACCCAGTGGTTATCCCAACAAGTGGCCTCCTTAATGCCCATCACCTATTTAGCCCATTACCCCAACCACCTCCCCTCCAGCAACCCTCAGTTTGTTCTCTGTACTTAAGAGTCTCTTGGGACACCTGGGTGGCTCAGTCAGTTAAGCATCTGACTCTTGATTTTGGCTCAGGTCATGAACTCACAGTTCATGAGTTCAAGTCCCGTGTCAGGTTCTGAACTGAAAGCTCAGATCCCGCTTGGTTTCTGTCTCCCTGTCTGACCCTCCTCCCACATGTGCTCTCTTGCTCTCTCTCTAAAAATAAACAAACACTTAAAAACAAATAGTCTTTTATGGTTTGCCTCCCTCGGTGTTTATCTTATTTTTTCTTCCCTTCCCCTATATACATCTGTTTTGTTTCTTAAATTCCACACACAAGTGAAATCACAGGATATTTATTTTTCTCTGACTGATTTATTTCACTTAGCATAATACCCTTTAGTTCCATCCATATTGTTGCAAATGGCAAGATTTCATTCTTTTTCATTGCCGAGTAATATTCCATTGTATATATACATACCACATCTTCTTTATCCGTTCATCAGTCAATGGACATTTGGGCTCTTTCCATACTGTGGCTAT